CTGTTTGCTATTAGCTCTCACTAGACCAGTGGTGTTCGAATAGAGAGCCTGCATAAGGTTAATGTACTTCTTTGGTACATCTTTCAATGACGGACACTGCCACAGAACCCCACGATCGACCTGACGTAGTGCGAATATCCGGTCTATACACCCACATGCAGGTATGAAACCAGTTTCGTTTTCTCGAGCTCCAGTTAGGCGTTCGACTATTATCGAGGCTAACAATTTATAAACTATACTGGACAGACTTATTCCTCTGTGATTTTCGCAAGAGGACTTTTGTACTTTCTCATAAACTGGGAAAATCAGTGATTGAGACCAGTCAGATGGAATTACGTCCAGTTTCTAGATTCTACCTCAAGTAGCCATACCACATTAGCACAGAGATACAATAGTCAATTCAAATCCCATAGTAATAGAGGTAGTAAAAGTATAAGACGTAATCGGAAGGAGTAGAGATCGAAGATATTATTCACGAAGTACAATTCAGTGAAGTAAATTAAGAAAAAGAAAGATAGAGATGATGAGGAATTCAGAAAGTTAGAATTTCATGGAACACAAAGAGTAAATGCACCTGCATCGTTGCAAACGGTTTTGAGCCATATCATTCAGGGTATCTAACCATCGATTACTATCACCTCGCGGGCCCAAACCAGGTAGTCGACAATTACCGACATGGCTAAGTCCACTCGTCAATGATTTCATGGATTTCTGCCATGTTTTGGTTTGGCCGCCCCTAACTTTCTTCCAACCTACTCCTACACTACAAAACAAGGCTCGACGAGGCAGTCGGTGGTTGGGCATACGCAACACATGTCCCAACCACCTCAACTGGTGATGTTTCAATACTTCATCGATTGATCTGCCATTCTTACCTAGCACCCGATTCCTAATAACAGCGTTGCTCGTTCGGGTGTCCCACGATATACGAGCAATGCTTCGAAGACACCTATGATCGAAGAATAGTAACCTACGAACATCTACTCTCATTGGCCACGTTTCACAGCCATAAAGTAAGACGGAGCGAACCACTGCGCAGTACACTCGTCCTTTAGTCAGCAAACGGGTATCTCGCCTTCGCCATAAGTGACGCAGGTTGGCAAAAGCCAATCGAGTCTTCTGTATCCGAGCTGAGATTTCGTCAGTCACCAGGCCATCAGCACTGATGAGACTCCCAAGATAAGTGAAGCGGTCTACACGTTCGACTACTTCACTCCCTATCACTAGTTCAGGTGCCGATGAAACCCAATCTTGAAGCAACATTTTGCATTTCGGCTTAGGTTAGTCAGAAGACTCTGCATTTTGTCAGCGTCTTCACCAAGTAGGACAATGTCATCGGCATATTCTAAGTCGATAAGCGAGCCACCTGTTAATAGGTCTCCTCCTGAAAATTCAGACGAGGATAAGGTTATTTCTAGGAGCATGTCTATGATAATATTAAACAAGAATGGATAAAGTGGACATCCCTGACGGACACCACTTGAAGTAAAGAATTCCCGTGACAGTTCGCCATAAGCTCTCACTCGACCAGTGATGTTCGAGTAGAGAGCTTGTATAAGGTTAATGTACTTATTTGGTACACCTTTCAATGACAGACACTGACACAGAACCTCACGATCCACAGAGTCAAATGCCGCTTTTAGGTCCAGGAAAACAACTATTGTAGGACGCCTAAATGTGTGTCTATGTTCCAGGACCTGTCGTAGTGTGAAGACGTGGTCTATACAGCCACGTCCAGGTCGAAAACCAGACTGGTTTTCTCGAGTTTGCTCTTCACGAGCTCTCGTTAAGCGCCGTAGTATTATTGAGGCCAATATTTTAGATACTACATTAGTTAGACTTATTCCCCTGTGATTGTCACAAGAAGACTTTTGTCCTTTCTTATAGATTGGAACAATCAGTGATTGAGACCAGTCCGATGGGATTACGTCCAGTTCCCAGATTCTACCTAAGTCAACCTAGCTGCTAAAGCTGGACCACCATCCTTAAATATCTCAGGGCTCAGTCTATCAGGACCTGCAGCTCGCCCGCGCTTCAGATTTACTAACGCTTTCTCAACGTCATTAAGACTAGGCGGAGGCTAGTCTTTAGAAACAACAATTTAGAAGCTATGTTAGTTAGACTGATTCCCCTGTGATTGTCACAAGAAGACTTTTGTCCTTTCTTATAAATTGGGACAATCAGTGATTGAGACCAGTCAGATGATATTGCGCCGTTCCCAAATTCTACCTAAGATCTCAGTCAATCTAACTGTTAAAACTGGACCACCATGCTTAAAAATCTCAGGTGTAAGCCTATCAGGCCCAATCGCCCTCCCTCGCTTTAGATTTCCTATAGCTTTCTCAACTTCATAATGACTAGGGGGACTTACGTCGATTTGCCATTCAGGATGACTGGAGATCGTGGGTAACCGAAGAGTGGCTCGAGGCCAGTTGAACTGATCCCTAAAGTGTTCTGCCCATCGATCCAGTCTTCTGCATTGAGAATAAATAATAGTCCCGTCATTTTCTGAGATAGTCTCAATTACACTAGGATTCCTAATACCAGTTTTTATGATCAACCTTACTAGCAGATATCACTGCTGTTTCCACAGCCTTCTTGATATCATTCCATCCTGCTTCCGGATGGGAATCGCTTAAATGGTCGCCTAACTGTCTTTCTAGTTGTTCCTGAAATATATTCTTCGCCTTATTATCATTAAGTAAAACCCTAAGAGGCTTTCTTACGGTGTCTTTCCTACGACCAACATTAACCCAGCTTATTTATTATGTCCCTCAAGACGACCTTCCACGGTGTGGGCAGCCGGGAAGAGACATCCGCCCTCATACCCGTAACAGTACACGAGACCAAACTGGTTACAATCAAATCCTTTCTACACCACCTAAAATCTCTACGACTAACTGCTCTCACATTCTTTTATCACCCCATGCTGCTAATGTAAACGATTCGAATTCACAAAACGCTATCCTTGGTTTTCTGAAGCCCCGCTCTCAACTACATATTGGGGCTTTTGTTGTTTATACTTAGTGTCAAACAGGACAAGCTTCCTTAGCTCGGACATAAGAATATCGTGCCATCGATGGATGCTGCGTCTCCAAAACGGGCATACAGGATTCGAGTAGTGACTAATTTGACTTCACCTTAGCTTTTGACAACTTGCATCATTTATGCCGTAGGCGAGGTATCCATTTTCTAACCAAAGGACGAATATACTGTTCACCAATTCTCTCCGCTTATGGTCGGTAAGAGTAGAAGACTTTCGTAAGGTACTAGTATTCGATCATGGGTATCTTCGAAGCATTGCTCGTATATCCTGGGACAACCCATTAAGCCATGCTGTTAGGAAACGGGAAGTGGGTATGATAGATCAGTAGATGAAGTAGTAAGTGGTCTTTAGTTGAGGTGGTTAGGACATCGGTTGTGTATACCCAGCCGCTGACTGCCTCGGCGAGCGACGTTTTGTGCTGTACGGTTACGTTGGAGGAAAACTAGGGGTGACCAGACCAAAACATGGCACCAGTCCATGAGTCCTTGTGTTCCATGAAATTCTTAATTCTTCATTATCTCTATCTCTTACTTTTTAGATGTATCTCAGCGAATTATACTTCTTGAATGATATCTTCGAACCCTAATCCTCCCGTTTACTGCTAATACTTCTACTATCTCTACCATTATGGGATTTGAAGTAATAATTGTGTCTCTGTTAATGTGGTATGGCAACTTGAACTTATGTACGTACGTACGAAGTCCTATGTTGTGGTAACTGACTGACTGGGCAGCTATGATCGGAAAGTCATGGGGAATCCAGATTAGAATTTGAGAGAACACAAAGAACGGATGCATCTGCACCATTCCAAACGATTTCGAGTCATATCATTCAGTCTCTAACCACCGGTTACGATTATCTCGCGGAAACTAATCAAGTGGTCTACACCAACCAACACAGCTCACTCCAATTATCAATAATTTCATCGACTGGTGTCATGCTTTGGTTTCCCCTAGCTTTCTTTCAGCTTACGGCTACATCACAGAATATTGCCCGTCGATGTAGTCAGTGGTTGGGCATACGTAACATGTTCCAACAACTTCAACTGATAAAGACTCACTAGTTTATCAATTGATTTGTCATTCTTATTTAGTACCCAATTTACGGTTATTGACAAACTCCTTTCGATTCACTAACACAAACAGACCAAACGAAACAAAATTTTAAGCAGTGTTGTGTTGGAAAAACACATTAAACAGGGGGTTGATAAGCATACACGCTGGTTTAGAACAATATGCATTCTAACTCAGAGAAACAATAAAAAACGTACCAAATCAATGAAATGTCATAGGTTAGAGCTGATTTTTAAGTTTTAGTTGTCTGTGAGAATTAAGATGAATTAGTGGACTGAGTGATATTGGTAGATACAGACTATGAGGTCAATGTTGGCAGGATAACCCAAGTCAGTGGTTGGAGACGCCTATTGACATGGATAAGGATTAATGACGGTATCACAAAAACACCAACTCATCTTTTCGAGATACCATATCGTGTCTTGCGTTTTACTTCTCGGATACTGATGGATTAGTTTCTCGTTATTTACACTTTCTTGCTTGACTTAATCTATATTTTGGAGAACTTGCTTGTGGTTTCACTGACGCTCAGCCGGTATTTTTTAGGCGTGGATCGCCAGCATTACGGCAGGCTTTAAGCAGATACTTGGATACAGCAGAAGTAATGTCGGTAATTAGTGAGATACAAACAAAGCAACCGTTTATAAGACGATTCTATCGGAAACTAACCTGACGCAAACAAAATTCTCAACTCCACGTTTTATTTTACAGTATATGTTAAGTTACATGAACATTATCAATGGCACCACACTTAACTATACCAAACAGAACTAACAACATGAAACCCTAAAGTTTATGAAATGACATAAAAGGTTAGGTGGCTCAAGACTTTAAGCAAACAATGGATGTAACGATCAACGCGCAAGTGTCAAGAAACTCACCTTATCTGTTATGTCATACACAATCATAATTCCCTGTGCACCACGGTAGTATGAGGAAGTAATTGTTCGAAAACGTTCCTGACCAGCAGTATCCCAAATTTGTAGTTTCACAACTTTACCATTTATTTCTAAGGTCCGTATTTTCTAAAGAGAGTGTCATATCATTAAGTACTTACGAAATCCACACCGATAGTGCTAATGTACGTCTCGTTAAACGTTTCGTCCTAATTTCATTTACAATTTATTACTGAAAAAGAACTTACAGCAAACCTTAACAACAAGCATGATTTCCCCACTCCTGAATCACCGATCAGCAAGAGTTTGAGTAGATAGTCGCTAAAAAAGGAAAACCATTTGATTAAAAATGTCAGAAGAAGAAAAGAAACTTCGTAGTACACGCAAACATACTAATCCTGGTTCATCTGGATGGACAAGCTAGCTCAATGTTAAGTTGTAGTAGACAACAAGAGCTTACGGGCAAGTTTCGGTTTCGGTAGCACCCGATAAACAAATTATCCTACCTGTGGATAGAAAATCTAGCAAGTTAATCAATCAGTAAAAATGAATTGCAGACTTGCTCTCAGAAGGGTTGAAGTAATACAGGAATGCTGAAGAAAATTTCTGACAGGCACTCACATGAGGCATTGAGCCTATTTAACTAAAGTCAATAAAAGTAGTCAATAGAGTACTCGGACTCAAAACAAGCAATATTTATTCAACTTTTCCAGTGAGAAAATACAGCAGGAATTTGATGATGATGCATCATATTTTTTGTGATCCCTACTTCATTCTGACTAAGAACCTAACTCTGATTCCAAGTTCAGCAGAAAATAAATCCCCGAAATAATTGTATAAGTTAACAGTATTGATATTGACCTCATTAGTTCCACTGGACACGCCCTAGCTGAATGCTTTTGGTCATGCATCCTCACCAGGTGGCCAGCTGAGATCACTCACTTATCGTTCTATCCTCATTTCTGACTTATAGATTTACTGGGTATTCTTGATGAGGAGGGTGTTGTAGACAAAAACGTCTTCGTAATCCGAATATCTGTAACATCATTAATGGTAAGAAACACGTAATTTCGGTGCATAAAGCGAAAAATTGTTTGTTTCTCATCATACTGTATTATATTTTACACATCATCTGGGTATTATGTTCTCAGATATTTTCTAATAGTTATGTATAAAGTTAAATATTTCATCCTTTTAACGACAGCACACTCAAATCAATCAAGATAATGACTTAAATGCCGCTGCGCATGACTCATCTCCCGTCGTTCTGGCTTGATTATATCACAGCTTCATGTCGCCATGCAGAAGCATACATTAACGAACACCAGAAGACAGATCGACTTGCAGAGCTGTTTTCAATAAGTATAGCATTAGCATGGGAGTTCAGTAGCTGTGTTACACATATTATGTTAATTAGTGGTAACTCCGACCTCAAGAAATTTCGATTTGGCTATCCTTGAACATGAAGATCCAAATGATCGACAAAAATTAGACTAACTTTTCCACGAAACAGAAGTGGAATAATGCTTACCAGCAGAAATGTTGCTACATATTTGGGTCACTGGTAGTGAAAATCTAGACCGTCTCTTCAGAAAACTCGTTCTATCTAAGCCTCCTCATCCAGGACAAGCTGTTCTCACTACCTTCCATAACAACGCCGCAGACGGATTGTCTGCATCTGCCAGTCGGATTCTGAAAATAAGCAGAACCCATAGTTTTGAGCATTTTCTTGTTAAAGAAAAGAAGTAGTTGAGTGAAGATAAAGTTACAGGTCTCCATTATATCATTATTCGTTCTCTTATTCTTCATTGTAGATTTATTTCGCCAGTGGCTGTCCCAATTGTTTCCAATAGAAACACTCCTGTGCGTTCCTCCTAGTTTCAGGTCCCAGCCGAATCAAAAAAGGGCAAAATTCTAGGAGAAAACGTCTGGTATTTGTGTTTCTTCCAGGACTAAATTACTCCGCAGAGTATCCAATACAATAACTAGTAAGTGACACTAAGTCCAGCAGCCACCGCGTCCATCCAAAAATGTCAAGAGAAAAAGTCCATCATGTCATAGCAAAAATATGTAAACATGGAGGGATTTTCCAAAACACAAAACATTCAAAAAGAATTCTACACCGGCCCGCAAAATCCCTCCATGCAAAAACAGCAAGCGTTAATGACACCTTATTTAGGGTTCCCATGTTATCCCCTAATCCACACCGGAGTAACGTGTAGGACTTACAGCAGTACGCCTACCCGCCATCCAACATGGATATGACCCATCGTGTTAACTAGGTACCTATACTTTCCCATCAGGCCCTTGATTCCCCTATCTATCGTGGAATGACCTAACGGTAGTATAAACCTTACCCAATTAACCCATACGAACATGAACAACACGTCGCAAAACTGGTCATATCCTATCCAAGGACTACATTCTCTATCATGGGGACGAGTCGCCAATCCACCACCACTTGCTCCGATCAGCAGATACCATGAAGTCCGTGATGCTAACTTATCAACAGAAGTTTTTGACCCATAAATAATATGCAAGGGTGAGATTTCCAATTTTGACATTTCATCGTAGGATCAATATTTATCCTTCCATCTCCTGATGCAGAGGAGGTTTGAACAGTATTCATCATCGTCGGTAACTCATTTGTCACCTCAGTGACATCCAGTTTATTATCAACGTCTAAATGATTCCGTTCTGCATTAGCATCCGTTTCCGCGGCACAAGACATATGCTCAACAATAGCATCGTCATCACACAGCACTGTAGACTGGCTGTTACCATCAAACACTTTCTTCTCATCATCACTCGACTGACGGTCAACCGTAATAGGAACAGTTACAGTTGCACAACCTTGTGCATCTTCAATCAACTTAACCTTCGTGACGAGGTCCGATGGCGTCGAAACACTAGGAGGCTCATTCGATGAAGTTGATAAACTAGTCCCTATAAGTGGACTGCTGACACTTTCTATCTCCTTATTATCACTGTCACTACTAAGGTTCTGATGGCTACTATTTCCATGGCTAGTCGTAGCATCCGAAAGAGCATGAGGTTCAGGCTTCTTAGTAATAGTAGCATCATGTCTACTAGGCTTCTTAGCCGTTACTGTACCACCATCACTTATCCTAGAATCTACTCTAGGTCCAGTTATATAATTTACCCTAACTGAAGGGTTCCGAAAATAAGCTTTATTCCGTTCAGTCAATCCTGCCTGGGTCTTATTCATATTTGCTGAACTCATTAACCTCTGATTACTCGAATCCAAATTACCGTTCCAGGCTTTTCGAGCAGCTAAGAGGCTTTTATCATCACACACTTCGGATCCATCTTGATGCCTACACTTTTCGCCTTTTTCTTTCTTTTCTACACTTAGAAAAGCCATCTTATCTGTTACACCAACCGGCTTCTTGCTAGGACACGCATCAAGAGGCTTTACATCGTTACGGTCACATACTCGTCCTTCATCAGCGTATGCTTTCGTGATATAATTGACAAATCTCTTATCTTCCGAGCGTGCTTTAGGTAGAAACGAAAAATCCTCATGTCTCGCACGCATACCACTAGTAGCTTCCGTATTATTTCCTGTTTTAGCCTGATAAGCTAATCTTCCAAACCTACTACTAGCTATCTTAGCACGAGACATAATAAATTCCGTTAATTCGTTAAAATTAGGCTCTCTCTCCTCTTCGTCCCACTTGAATACTAGCTCTGCCCACTGGGCTTGCATTCGACGAGGTAAGAGCCTTACTATTCGTTCTAAAGTAGCCATAGAGTTAAGTTCCGTTGTGCAATTGAGCTGTTCTAAAGTTAAAGCAGCATTCTGCATTTTAATAGCCAAGTTCGTCAATGATTCAGGATCATTAAATTCTACATTCCCAGTTCTAAATAAGTCCTCTAAGGTTTCTCGCGCTATTACATGCGACTGTCCAAAGAGCTGTTTTAGAATGGCCTTAGCTCTCTTATATCCTGATTGTGGATCCATAATAATACAGCCTTCAATCGCATTTTTTGCTTTTCCCTTACAATAATGAATTAAATACAATAAACGCACTTGATCATCCTTGATTCGAGGTTCTATAAACGATTCTATTTGTCGTATGAACTTAAAATAGTCGCGAGACCTTCCGTCAAAAAATGAGAGTTCAACCTTAGGTAATTCTAAACCCTCTATCGATGACTTACAATAATAAATATCAGACATAACATGTGGGTTACCCATAAAAAGGTTATCATCAACGACTTGCCTAGAGCCCTGTGATCCGTCGAGCTCTTCCACCGTCCTCATGTATGATTTTTTTCGGTTTGACATCATAAATAAAGTTCAGTAAAGACGGTAACAATACAAAATAGAATAAATCCAAAATTCAGTTCAAAAATAATGATTAATAATCCAACTTCTTCCCCCAAGGAAGTCTAGTATGATAAACGATTAAATTCCAAATGTTTCCTTGTAATTCTTAATAATCCAAATAGATCCAAATTATGTACGTTCTGGTAAATATTTCCAAGTATAATTCACGCAAGAAGAATAAATACCAGACTGTAGATTTATTTCGCCAGTGGCTGTCCCAATTGTTTCCAATAGAAACACTCCTGTACGTTCCTCCTAGTTTCAGGTCCCAGCCGAATCAAAAAAGGGCAAAATTCTAGGAGAAAACGTCTGGTATTTGTGTTTCTTCCAGGACTAAATTACTCCGCAGAGTATCCAATACAATAACTAGTGTTACGGGAGAAACGAAGACATTTTGCTGATCAAAACCTTCATGTATAAATATCATTAATTTCACTGTTTTTGGGTATATTTGTTTTACTTAACTTATGAACTTGTTTGAATTATTATTTGCGGACATATTGGACTCCCGTTTCTCTTTGTTGTTCGTTGCAGTTTTTTGCTCCAAGAGATAATAAATTAGAAGGTAATTGTAATTATTATAATTATTGTTGTTAGAACGACATTGGTCGTCTAATTGTAATAAAGTATTTTGGTCGAATTTGTGATTTGGAATAAACTTTGGTATCTACTTTGGAGTTTCGTTCTTGGTATAGAAATTTGGGACCGTGAATTACAAATAGACGACAACAGTGCTTCGTAAGATCAACGAGCAAAAAACTGGACGTAACAACTAGTAAGTGACACTAAGTCCAGCAGCCACCGCGTCCATCCAAAAATGTCAAGAGAAAAAGTCCATCATGTCATAGCAAAAATATGTAAACATGGAGGGATTTTCCAAAACACAAAACATTCAAAAAGAATTCTACATTCATCATGAAAGTAGACGATCCATAAACTCTCCTAAAAGACCTATCAAGAAAAAGGTCTGTGTCTAGAATGTAAGGAGAGGATAAACCTAACTTCCTTTGGTACAACAATACCTGTGACAGATCTTTCAGTAAGTGCAAAACACTCTGCAGTTTATCCAGTGTTGATAGCAATCGTAGTCTGTAGACAGTTATCTCTGACATATTATTGAGGTAATGTTGAAGATTCGTAATCTCAACTTTAGCCGTTTGTACACCCTCTTGCCTCGATATTATTTCGATATCACGAGGCTAGCATTTAATGTACTTCTCCCTCTAGAATCGCCTTTTTATCTGATGGTTAGAATAATGGGATTAACATTTGTTATCTC